ATATGACCCCATTGGCAGGGTAGCCTCTCCCAAGCGTGGTGGTGCGTTCGCACGCACGTGCACGTGCACATTTCGAAGGACACATTTGCACATTTGCACACCTTTACGGCGTCTCACCGACACACACACCCACCCACCCACACACACACACACACACACACACACACACACACACACACACACACACACACACACACACACACACACATACACATACATACATACATACATACGCACATACCAACACCCCCCCATCTCTCTCACATATACATGCCCCCCCTTCACAGCCTCTCCCGCTGAGGTTGCCGCTCTTACCAACGAGACGGCTTCCCAGTCCACCCGCGGTGGGAACATCATCATCACCATGCTGCCGACTCCGGCCCATGTGCGTGCCGTCTACACCGGGTCCGACCTGGCGGCCGCCGGAGCCGCGGTGGCTGCCGGCGCGCCGGTCTCCTCGAGCGAGGTGGTGCCCGGTGCCGGTCTCCTGGACATCGCCCAGGCCGGGACCATCCTGATGGATTGCTCGACCATCGACCCGGCCAGCGCTGGGACCCTGTCGGCGGCGGCACGCGAGCGCGGCCTGCGCGCCCTCGATGCCCCGGTGTCCGGCGGTGTGACCGGCGCCGCGGCCGGCACCCTGACCTTCATGCTGGGCGGGTCGCCCGATGACGCGGCCGCCGTGGACCCGCTGCTGGCGTCCATGGGCAAGGCGCGCCTGCATTGCGGCGATCTCCCCGGTAGCGGCCAGGCGGCCAAGCTCTGCAACAACATGCTTCTGGCCGTGACCATGGTCGGCGCGGCCGAGGCCATGAAGCTCGGTGCCCACTTGGGCCTGGACTCGGCCCGGCTGGCCGGCGTGCTCAATGTCTCCACCGGCCGCAGCTGGTCCACCGACACCTACAACCCGGCCCCCGGGGCCCTGGCCAATGAGAACCTCCCGGCCAACCGTGACTATGCCGGCGGCTTCGCCAATGTCCTCATGAACAAGGATCTCGGCCTGGCCCTGAGCGCGGCCCGGCGCGAGGATGTGGCCACTCCGATTTCCGACCTGGCCGGGCGGATTTATGCCACGCTGGCCGAGGACCCGGCCTACCGCGGGCTGGACTTCGGCTCCGTGTACAAGTGGCTGGGATCCCAGAAGCGTGCCGACTGCTCGGCAGCCGAGGCCCAGGAGAAGAAGGTCTCCTGCTGATGAGTGGTGACGTCCGTGCTTGGGGTGGGGCTGGGGGGCGGGCTCCAACGCTCTGGCGCTCCTCTGCCGCGCAAGGAGCGCCATGGCAGAGGGCCGCCAGGTGGCATCTTCGCGCCGCCGAGCCCCCCCCCCCCTCTCCCCTCTCCCTCGCCTCTTCCTCTCGGCCAGTGCGCCACACAATATATCACATCTCACTCTTGTCTGCCATGTTCGTGTGCGTGCGTGTGTGCACCACCTAGCATTACTTGCCTTGCTGCGTCCACTGTATCTTTCAAGAGCGCGTATGCCTCTGTGTGCGTGCGTGCGTGTGTGTGTGTGTGCGTGTGCATGCGCATACCTGGGCGTCTGCGGCCGTCCTCCCCCCCCCCCGGCAGTCAGGACAACCCACAGTCGGGTCCGCCGCTGATGCATTGGCACATGCGGTAGCATTCTTTGTGGAGCTCCGGTCCCGTGGAACTCACGTGCGTTTGTGCCGACGCATTGCCCCGTCCCTCCCCACGGTGTCGCCGCGCCCACCCCGGGCCAGGATTCCCGCGCTTGCCGCCTGCATGCGCCCCATTAGTCCCTCTCTCTCGCCCGGGGCCATTACTGCCCCCCCCCCCCCTGGCCTCGGCCCCGTGTCCGCTCTGGGGATGGTGCGCGGGCATCCTTTCGGACCGGGGCACCGAGTGCGTGTCTGACCGTGTGTCTGCGTGTGCCTCAAGAAAATCCCCCCACCCGCAACGATTGCACCAGCAAAGCAATCTCCTCCTCCCCACCTCCTCGATCATCGCCTCCTCCGCCCCCTTCTCCGCCCCCCTGCCTCCCTCTCTCTCTCTCCCCTCTTTCCCATTCCTGCCACGACGAGAACCATCATCCGAGGAGATCGCCGCGCGCTCCGCCAGCCCGACACACGCACAACCATCCTCCCCCTCGAGTGACGACCGTCTGCGCGCGTGGACTGTGTTGCCCCCCACCCCCCTTTTGAATTGAGTATCGGTGCGCCCTTTGCTTGGCTCCTTGGTCGTCATCGCCGAACTGCGCTAACTCCAGCGCCCGCGATCGATCACCTCCCCCCCCCCCCCCCCTCACACACACGTATTTATATTTCCAGCCATGGATCCCTATGATGCGATCATGGCCGGAATGGCGTCGGGTGCCCCGGCTGCCGGGGCTGCTCCGACGCCGACCTCCCCTCGCGAGGACGACCTGTCACCAAACGAGCAGGCCGTGCTGAAGCTCCTCCGGAGCCAGAACGGGGTGCGCCCAAGGCTCGGCACACATTGCTCTCCCCCGTGCCCCCCCCCCCCCTTTCCCCCCTCTTACTTTGCCACAGACCATGCATGACGCGCCCGCTGATTGAAACTCACCCGTCGCCTCCTCTCCCGCGCTGCAGGGACAACTGACCAACGAGGTTTTGGAAGCGGAGCTGCCAATCCCTCTAGAAGAGCGAGCAGTTGCCATCAATGCCCTCTCTCGACGGGTGCGCCATTGTTCCCTCGGCCCGGCCCTCTCTCCCGCCCCCTTGGCCAGCCGCGGGTGTCGCTGACGTTGCTTTTTCATGACCACGCCCGGTGCTGACCCCACCCTTCCGTCCTCCCTCCCCCCCCCCCCATCTCTCTCTCTCTCTCTCGCATCAGGGCATGCTCACTTTTGTCCGGATCGGCAACAATGTCGCCTACATGGAGGTCCAGCCGGAGGAGGTCGTCAAGTGCGTCGTGCCTCCCCCTCGTATTCGCTCCTCCAAACTACCTCTTGTTCTGACCACCTACTCCCTGCAATGCGGGCGGGATGCATGAATCCCCAGACTTCAGTCCATGAACCAGGACGAGCGCCTGGTGTACACCCTTATCAAGCAGTCCGATGACAAGGGCATCTGGACCCGGGAACTCCGGACCCGAGCCAACCTGCAGCAGGTCCAGCTGCAGCGGATCCTGCGTGCACTGGAGACACGCAAGATCGTCAAGAGTCTGAAGAGTGTCGAGAGTAAGAACAAGAAGATCTACATGCTTTTTGAGATCGAGCCCTCCCGACAGGTGACCGGCGGCGCGTGGTACAATGAGCAGGAGTTCGACTCGGAGTTCTTGGGGATCCTACGTGACCAAACCTATCGCTTCATCGCCGAGAGGGTGCGTGGTGTTTTTTTTCGTTCTTTTTTTTTTATTCAGACCCTTCTCTCTTGCGGTATACTCTGGCCTCCCGTCTCTCGCTGAGACATCTCCATGTGCTTGCCGCCGCCACTGCGGCATCCCCATACTTACTGTGTCTTTTTGTGACCCCCCCTCCCTCCCCTCCCCTGGGTGGTCGGTCCACGCGCGACCACCTACCTCTCGTGTATGCCCACTCGCCCATGCACCGATGGATGCGCCCACACATCAGAGCATGCCCCGCGGCAACAGTGTCCTGCCCCTGTCCCACGTTGGGTATGCCACGGTCGAGGATGTGGTCGCGCACATCGCCAGCACCCGAGTCAGCAAGGTGCCTCTGAAGGCCGAGGACATCGAGTGCATCATCACCTCGCTCATCTATGATGGGACAGTGGAGAAGTTGCAGAATGGCACCTACCGTGCCTTGGTCCGTCGGGCCACCGGGGCCGGGGTCAGTCTTGGATCGGCCGGGCGCGACCCCACCCGTAGCGGCCTCACCAACATTCCCTGTGGGCACTGCCAGCTTTTGAACTTCTGCAAGGCCGATGGCCCGGTCAACCCGATGAATTGCGAATATTTCTCCAAGTGGTTCGACCTTTGAGAGGAGCGAGGCCCGGCGGAAGAGCCCGCTGTAATGCCTCCCCTGTCTCCCCTTGACCTGGTGTCGTGTCAGGCTGTTGATCGAGTGGGGGCAACTGTGCAGCGGCACTTCCCCCTGCTCTGATCCGCCGGTGCGACCCAATACACACACACACACACACACACACACACACACGCGAACGCACACACGCCAAAGGCACATGGGCCATGTGTCGGGTACACCGCAACCGGACACATGAGGCGCTGGTTTACATGGAAAGAGGAATCTAAAGGTATATGGATGTGGAATGAATGCCGCGCATCAGAGACGCATCATGGCTTCCGATCGGGCAGGGGGGATGACCACACTTCCCCAAACATTTGCTTCGTCCGCGGCCACAGCGGCCTCGGCATGGCGCTGGCGCACGAAGCTCAGGATGGCTGCCACACCGGTAAGACAGGCGGCCATCAGGAAGACAAGGTCAAACCAGTGCGTGAACACCCGGAAGGCCAGCCGAGCACCACCAAGCACGGCGGTCACCGCCGAGTGTGCCGCGTCCGGGAGGTTCCCCCGAAGTTGGAGAACACAGGCACACGCGTAAGCACCCTGGAGCTGGGCCATCAGCAGAGCCAGGTGCGCACCCGACTGTGAGGTCGACAGCGAGTGGAAGAGCTGAGCGGCGATGGAGAGAGAGAGAGAGAGAGAGGGGGGGGGGGAGGGCAGGGGGAGGGAGATAGAGAAGCTCGTTGGAGGTCAGTCGGAAGGACCGCCCTCACAGGCGGTGACAGATGACATGCTACAGTTGGTGCGCACCTTGATGAAGTGGAAGAGGAACCCCCGGACATTGGTGAACACCAGGATGCCAATCAGCAGGAAGGAAATGTGCACCCCAAGGGCATTCAGCGAGAGGGCGGTGGCCTGCTCGGCGCCAAGGTACTGACTGACCAGGCCGAGGGCGCGCGACACCGGGTCAATGTGGGGCCCGGCGCGGGGGCCTGCGCCGCTATCGCCGATGCCCCCACCGCCGGCTGCCGCGGCAGACAGGACATTTATCACGCTCATGAGAAGGCGGTAGGCACCGTAGAAGGAAAGGACATGGCCAAGGGCGTCCAAATACCTTCCATGTAGAGTCTGGCTGAAGGCCCGGCGGTTGAAGGCATTGCGAATGGCGCTGAGAGTCGAAAAGTGACGGCTCTGCACAAGCTCCAGGGCGGCGATGTTGCCCTCAAGCTCGTGGATGTTGGCAAGCAGGTTGGCCGCTGCCTTGGCGCCGGAGGGAGCGGCTATGGTCCGGAGTTAGCTCGGGGGGGGG